TTTTGGAGTTACCTGGGTAGTCCTGGATGTTGCCTTTTTTCTCCCAAGTGGCTTATAATTGGATTTTTAATTACCTCCTTGGGCTCCAGAGTGTTGGCAGCTGGGCATGTGTCTTCTACAAGAAAACTTCCAAAATGATCCTTTGAAAAATCTGACCAGCCCAAGAGAAAATACCCACCCTTACTAACATTATATTCCCCAGCAATTAAGACCACCAGAGAGCTCCAAAATCACCCATGTATTCAGAGCTTCCCAGTAGCTTGTTAGTGCCTCATCCTACAACAGAAGAAGACAACCAAGATCATCAGACGTGTGGAGTGATTCCAGCTTTGTAATAGGAAAGACAGAAACAAAACAAGGAAAAAAGAAACTGAAAGAAATAATCCATGAAATGAAAAAATACCAAATCTTTTTAAAATCTGTTATTAATATTTGCAAAGAGAAAAAATAGTATGTGGATAAAAGAAGAATATGATGCCATAAAAAAATCTCTGGGGAATTGAAAATCATCACAGCACAGTAGAAATCCAATAGAAACATAAAGGATTTCAAAAAATGTACTCCTTGGTGTGCCTTTTCTCCAGAAGATAACTAATGAAGTGCCCCCAAACGGATAATTAATGCAAAGAAAGATGTGGTCTCTGAGAAGCTGATGCCCTCTCCCTAGGGAGAGGAAAGGGATTCCCCAGGACAAGAGTGAGGAGGTTCCAGGATGGCAGGTGTGGCCAGATGCAGAGCACCTCCTGCCCACGTGGGAGTAAGTGCAACACTTCAGAGAGATACGCAGCTGGGAATAAAATTCCAGTAACTATGCCAACAATCATGCTGTATCTCAAGCAATTTAAATGGAAATAAGTTGACATGTCTGTGAAAATATGCTAAAAAACTCAAGAGTGGCTGTAAGGCTGATGAAAACACACAAAATATGTGTCCAAAAAATGAAAATAATAGCAGAACCTACCTCATAGAGTTATTCTGAGGTTTACGTGAGTGGACAAATGTGAAGCATTTGGAACAGCAACTGGCACATGCTGAGAGTGACTAGGATATTAGCTATTATTATTATTTATGTTACTAAACTCCAGAGATAGGCTTCCTAGAATCCTGGCTCCACCACTAGCTGTGTTCCATTGGGAAATTTATGCAATCTCTCTAAACCTCAATGTCTTCATCTGTACAAAGTACATGGCAATGGTATCTACCTCAAAAGTTAATGCTAAATGTTGCACTCAATGAGGCAATGCATGCACAAAAGTGAGCAGTCAGCACTCCATAAACACTAGATATGGATAGTAATCATTCGTATTTTTTACAAAAATTTATATTTTTAACTTCGAAAATGAAGAAAATCTCCACAATTAAAGAACCGTTTAGCTGTTAGATGTTTTTATATTGTGACAACCATACCACTTGTACTACTCTGTATTGTTTTAATAAACACTCTGTATTTCTACATCTTCTCAGTAATTGCGCTTTTAAGCCTCTGCCAAGCACATTACTAGATAATTTAAAACACATCAACAAATCATCAAAACATTTGTGGAACATTCAAATGGTTTCTAGTTTGGCATAAACAAACAAGACTGGATGGAACATCTTTGCTTTCGGATTGCGCTTTTTAGATTATTTCCCAACTCCCTTCTCAGGAGGAATGTAAACAAACTTTGTGCTCTCTCACACATGCTCTTCTTGGCAGGATTCCAGGCTCCATGGCCACAGCCAGTTCAGCAAGCATTTTAGCTCCCTGGACATCTTTGGCTTCAGTCCCAAAATCAAAATGAAATGCTAATTGAATAGAAATTGATGGCTTTGAGTGTGGGATTTTCAAATATTGCTCTCGGAACTTAAAATTTATTCTATTCATTGTAATATTCTACAGAGTATTTATCTATTCCATTCTCAAGTTCTATTTATTGCCGTTAAAGTCCCTCTCCCGCTCTTCATTTGGCACCTCATCCCCAAACATGCTTTAAAGTTTGCTATTTAGGCACATATGTGAAATGTTACAATTTTTTTCTAGCAATTTAAAAAATTATTTTAAAATAATTTTTTTAAATTTTGCCAAGTTATTTAACACAAAAATAAAGGATTTAAACTGAAGATAATTTCTGCCAGTTACAATACTCTTTCTTGTTTCCATGTAAATTATGGACCTCTGGGGGAAAAGGAGACAGTTGTATCTCTTGCAGAGATGCTGGTTTGTCCTTCTCTAGCCTTTGGAGTCACATCTCTGCACTACTCATCATTGCCTGTATAATTATATTAGAGATGCCAGTCCTTGACTTTCACTAACCTTCCAAGAGCACTCATGGTAATTTGTTACATCAGCAATAGAAAATTGACATACCCCTGTTGGAAACATGGTCATCTATGATCTATGGGTAGACACATCTTCATCTTTCACCAGAGCCTGGAAAAGCTATCCAATTTTAGGAAGCCATACGATTAAATTAGGTTCACCTGGATAATCCAAGCTAATCTTCCCATCTCAAGACCTTTAATTGAATCCCGTTTCCAAAATCCATTTTTTGCCATGTAAAGCAACATATTCCTAGATTCCAGGTATCAGGACTAGATGTATTTGAGGGCCATTATTCTGCCTAGAACACAGGGCATCACTGACCCAAACCGAACCAAGCATATCATCTCTCTAGACAAGCTGAATTTAGAATATAGTACTTAGTGGAAATGTAATATAAAATTGGACTGGCTTACAGAGACACACAGAGAGAGCAAAGCAGAGAAAAGTGATGCCCTGTGACCCTTGGGATTGATAGGATTACCTTTGGACATTCCAGGTGTTGCTCCAGGCCTGCCATAGTACTCTGATATGAGAATGCTGACACTCAATCATGTGTCCCCTGCTGCTCCCACCTGCCCATCTAAACCTTTAGAAGGTGGGGCAAAAAGTAAGCACAGAGTAGTTGTCAGATGATATTAAGAAAGATCTCCTGACACTGCGGAGTTTGTCCGAAAGTGCTTTTAGCAGATCATGGAGTCATGTGTTCACAAAGTGATGGAAACTCTTAAGCAAATACCACATTTCCAAATTCATTTGGGCTTTGAAAACAAGATGGTAGTGGCTACTATTCCCTTAAATGCTAGAATGTCTCCAAATGTGAGAGAAGATTAAACAGAAATATTTATAAAAGGGTATATTGAAGAAAAAAAGATATTCAGTATAATTTGTCTATACTGTTAATTACATGTATATCTCAATTACACCTCATCTTTCTTGATAAATCTTTTTTTTTTTTCAGTGACCAATAATGTTATTTTGGATCGATAACATTTTTTATTTTTTCTATTTTAATAGGTTTAGGGGGAACAGAACAGGTTGTGTTTGTTTACATGAATAAATTCTTTAGTGGTGATTTCTGAGATTTTGGTGTACCCATCACTCGAGCAGTATACACTGTACCGTTGTGTGTATTTTATCCCTGACCCCCCTCCCTCCCTTGTCACTGAGTCTCCAAAGTCCATTGTATCATTCCTTTGCAACTGCATCCTCAAAGCTCAGCTCCCACTTATGAGTGAAAAACTATATTTGGTTTCTCATTCCTGAGTTACTTCACTTTGAATAATGTTCTTCAATTCCACCCAGGTTGCTATCAATGCCACTACTCAGTTCCTTTTTATGGCTTAGTATTCCATAGTGCATGCATGTGTATGCATGTGCATGTGCATGAGTACCTTTTCCTTATCTATGATTGATTAATATAAACAATTGATGGGCATTTGGGCTGGCTCCATATTTTTGCAATTGTGAGTTGTGCTGCTATAAATATGCATGTTCAAGTATCTCTTTCATATAATGACTTCTTTTCCTCTGGGTAGATACCCAGTAGTGGGATTGCTAAATCAAATGGTAGATCTTCTTTTAGTTCTTTAAGGAATCTCCTCTCTGTCTTCCAAAGAGGTTGTACTAGTTTATATTCCCACCAAGAGTGTAAAAGTGTTCCCTGTTCACCATATCCACACCAACATCTTTTTTTTTGAATTTTTTTTTATTATGACCATTCTTGCAGGAATCAGGTGGTATACCACTGTGGTTTCAATTTGCATTTCCCTGATTATTAGTGATATTGAGCATTTTCTCATACATTTGTTGGCTATTTGTTTGTTTTCTTTTGAGAGTTGCCTACTTATGTCCTTAGCCCACTTTTGAATGGGATTGTTTGGATTTTTTTCTTGCTGATTTGTTTGAGTTCCTTGGCTGTATCCAATTCTGGATATTAGTCTTTGTCAGATGTATAGATTGCCAAGGTTTTCTCCCACTCTGTGGGTTGTCTCTTTAATCTGCCAATTATTTCCTTTGCTGTGCAGAAACTTTTTAGTTTAATTATGTCTTGTCTATTTATCATTGTTTTTGTTGCATTTGCTTTTTTGATTTTTTGGTCATGAAGTCACTGCCTAAGCCAATGTCTAAAATGGTTTTTCCAATGTTATCTTCTAGAATTTTTAAGATTTCAGGTATTTTATTTAAGTCTTTGATCCATCTTGAGTTGATTTTTGTATAAGGTGAGAGATGAGAATCCAGTTTCATTCTTCTACATGTGGCTTGCCAACTCTTCTGCACCATTTGTTGAATAGAGTGTCCTTTCCCCATTTTATGTTTTTGTTTGCTTTGCTGAAGATCAGTTGGCTGTAAGTATTTGGGTTTATTTCTGGGTTCACTATTCTGTTCCATTGGTCTACAAGATTGTTTTTATACCAGTATCATGCTGTTTGGGTGACTACAGCCTTATAGTACAGTTTGAAGTCAGGTAATGTAATGCCTCCAGATTTGTTCTTTTTGCTTAGTCTTGCTGTGGCTATGCAGGGTCTTTTTCGTTTCCACATGAATTTTAGATTTTTTTTTCTAGTTCTGTGAAGAATGATGGTGGTGTTTTGATAGGAATTACATTGAATTTGTAGATTGCTTTTGGCAGTATGGTCATTTTCACAATATTGATTCTACCCATCCATGAGCATGGGATGTGTTTCCACTTGTTTATGTCATCTATTTTTTTTTTTCAGCAGTGTTTTGTAGTTTTTCTTGTAGAGATATTTCACCTCTTTAGTTAAGTATATTCCTAAGTGTTTAATTTTTCTGCAGCTATTGTAAAAGGGATTGAGTTGATTTGATTCTCAGCTTGGTTACTGTTGGTATATAGCAGGGCTACTGATTTGTGTACATTACTTTTGTATTCTGAAACTTTGCTGAATTCATTTACCAGTTCTAGGAGCTTTTTGGATGAGTCTTTAAGATTTTTAGGCATACAATCATGTCATCAGCAAGCAGAAACAGCTTTACTTCCTCTTTACCAATTTGGAGGCCCTTTATTTCTTTCTCTTATCCATTTGCTCCGTCTGGAGCTTCCAGTACTGTGTTGAATAGAAGTCATGAAAGTGGGCAGCCTTGTCTTGTTTCAGTTCTCAGGGGAGAATGCTTTTAACTTTTCCCCATTCAGTATTATGTTGGCTGTGGGTTTGTCATAGATGGCTTTTATTACCTTCAGGTATGTCCCTTTTATGCCAACTTTGCTGAGGCCTTTAATCATAAAAGATGCTGGATTTTGTCAAATGCTTTTTCTGCATCTACTGACATGATCATGTGATTTTTGTTTTTAATTCTGTTTATGTGATGTATCACATTTATTGACTTGTGTGTGTTAAACCATTCATGCATCCCTGATATGAAACCCATTTGAACATGGTAGATTAACTGTTTGATATACCATTGGATTCAGGCCACTAGTACTTCGATGAGAAATTTTGTATCTATGTTCATCAGAAATATTGGTCTGTAGTTTTATTTTTTTGTTATGTCCTTTCCTGGTTTTGGTATTAGGGAGACACTGGCTTTATAGTTGACTTAAGGAAGATTCCTTCTTTCTCTATCATTTGGAATAGTGTCAATAGGATAGGTATCAATTCTTCCTTGAATGTCTGATAGAACTCAGCTGTGAATTTGTCTGGTCCTGAACTTTTTGGGGGAAGTAACCTTTTAATTATTTCAATTGCTCTGCTTCTTATTGGTCTGTTCAGACTTTCTGTTACCTCTCGGTTTAATCTAGGTTGTATCTTTACAGGAATTTATTCATCTCCTCTACGTTTTCTAGTTTATGCACAAAAAGGTATTCATAGTAGCCTTGAATGATCTTTTGTATTTCTATGGTATTGTTTGTAATTTTTCCCATTTCATTTCTAATTGAGTTTTTTGGATCTTCCCTCTTCTTTTCATAGTTAACATTGCCCATGATCTATCAATTTTATTTATTTTTTCAAAGAATCTGCTTTTTAAAATTTATCTTTTGTTTTTTTGTTCCAATTTCATTTAATTCTTCTCTGATCTTGGTTATTTCTTTTCTACTGGGTTTGGGTTTTGTTTGTTATTCTTTCTCAGGCTACTTGAGGTGTGACTTCAGATAGTCTATTTGTAATAGGTAATTTAATTTTCATTAAGCAGGTAATTTAATTTTCATGTATTTGCATGGTTTTAAAGGTTCCTTTTGGAGTTGATTTCAAATTTTATTCGAGTACTTGCTATAATTTCAATTTTCTTGAATTTATTGAGACTTGTTTTGTCAACTATCATATGGTCTACCTTGGACACTCTTCCATGTGCTCATGAATAGAATAGCATAGAATGTATATTCTTCAGCTCTTGGGTAGAATGTTCTATAAATATCCATTAAGTCAGTTTGTTGATGGCTATAGTTTAAGCCCATTGTTTCTGCCTTGACTTGACCTGTCTAGTGCTGTCAGTGGAGTATTGAAATCTCCTATTATTATTGTGTTGCTGTCAATCTCATTTCTTAGGTTTGGCAGTAATTGTTTTGTAAATTTGGGAGCTTCAGTATTAGGTACTTACATATTTAGGATTGTGTATTTTCCTGTTGGACTGGTCCTTTTATCATTATATAATGTTTCTCTTTGTCTTTTTTAACTTCTGTTGCTTTAAAGTTTGTTTTGTCTGACATAAGAACAGCTACTCTTGCTCACTTTTGTTTTCCATTTGCATGGAATATCATCTTCCACCCCTTTACCTTAAGTTTATGTGAGTCCTTATGTGTCAGGTGAGTCTCTTGAAGACAGCAGATGCTTGGTTGGTAAATTCCTATCTATTCTGCAATTCTTTATATTTTAAGTGGAGCATTTAGGCCCTTTGCATTCAACATTGGTATTGAGATGGGAAGTGCTATTCTATTCATTTGTTGCCTGTATACCTTGGGTTATTTTTTTTCCTTGTGTAGTTGGTTTATATGTCCTGTGAGATAGATGCTTTAAAAGCATTCTGCTTTCATGTGTTTCCAGGATTTGTTTCAAGATTTACAGCTCCTTTTAACAGTTCTTGTAGTGCTGGCTTGGTAACGATGAATTCTCTCAGCATTTGTTTGTATGAAAAGACTCTATATTTCCTTCATTTATGAAACTTAGTTTTGCTGGATGCAAGATTCTTGACTGGCAATTGTTATGTTTAAGGAGCCCAAAGAAAGAACACCAGTGTCTTCTAGCTTGTAGAGTTTCTGCTGAGAAATCTGCTATTAATCTGACAGGTTTTCTTTTATAGGTTACTGTTGCAGATCAGCCTCAGCACAACCCGTGGGTGTTCTAAGCCCCAGCAGTGATGAGGGAATTAAGGAAAAAAAAGACGCAGACACAGAAATAGAAATCATTAGCATGGGCCCAGGGGTTCTTCACAAGATGAGGACCATGAAGACCCTGAGCTCTAGGCTCCACATGTATTTAGTGCAACACACAGATTGTTTGATCATATCACTCAAGGTGGGGTGATCATAGGGTGAGTACACACAATGGAACAGTTTATGCCACATACATTTAGTAGGGGGTATGTGGCTATTCTAAAAAACTAAACTAGTACTATATAGTTAAACAAAGGATAAACACTGAGGTGCAGCTGCAGGAGTGTGGGAATGGGTAAAAGCCAGCAAGTTCTGATCACGCGACATACCTCAAAGGAGAGACTATCTCCTGAGCCCAGTCACCCATGGAACAGGTGGGAGACCAGAGAATGCCACCCTTATCTCAACCAGCCCAGAAGCCTCCTGCAAGACCCTTTATGAGCCTCTGAGCAGAGTCCCCTCCTCCAGGCCATGAGACTCTTACCAAGGGGTTCAAGTAGCAAGAGCTTGAGCAATGCTCCCTTCTTTGATGCCCAAACATTCTAGGGCTGTGATGAGCAATTTACAAGCTTTCTCACCAACCCAGGATTGTTTTACAAAGTACAAGCTGCACTTTTTGTTTAGCTAATATAATGCACCAACTTCTGTAAACTATAAATCTTAAACTAAGGCTAACTTATTAAACAGAAGCAGACTAATTCTTAAGTAGATATGGTGTAGGTCTGCTCTCTATTATTTTGGCCTACAAGTTACCTGATGCTTTTCCCTCACAGCTCTTAAGATTCCTTCCTTCATCCTGATGACTATGTGTGTAGGTGGTGATCTTTTTGTGAAGAATTTCTCAGGGATTCTTTAAGCTTCTCATATTTGGAGGTCGGTCTAGATCTCTAGCAAGGCCAGGGAAGCTTTCCTTGCTTATTCCCTCAAATGTGAGGTAAACTTTATATTTTTCTTCTTCCTCAGGAACACCAATCACTCTGAGGTTTGGTTATTTATCATAATCCCAAACTTACATGCTTTGTCCTTTTAGAGAATTCTTTTTTCTTTGTCTTTGTTGAATTGTGTTAATTTAATAGTCTTGTCTCTGAGCTCTGAAGTTCTTTCTTCTACTTATTTAATACAATTGCTGAGACTTTCCAATTCATTTTTCAGTTCTCTAAGTGTATCCTTCATTTCCAGAAGTTTTTATTGTTTTTCATTTATGCTCTCTATTTTACTACATATTTCTCCATTCATGTCCTGTATTAGGTTTTTCAATTTCTTAAAGTTGTTCTTCACCTTTCTCTGGTGCCTCCTTGATTGGTTTAGTAGTCAACCGGCTGAATTTGTTTCTGGAAATCCAGAGATTTCATCTTTGTTTAGATCCATGACTGGTGAGATAGTGGGATCTTTCGGGGATGTTAAAGAATCTTGTTTTGTCATATTACCAGAATTGTTTTTCTGGTTTCTTCTCATTTAGGTAGATTACATTGGAGGGAAGATCTAGGACTCATGGGCTGCTGTTCAGTCTTTTGTCCCATGGGAGGCTCCCTTGATGTGGTGCTCTCCCCTTTTCCCAAGGGATGGGGTTTCCTGAGAGCTGAACTGTAGTAATTGCTTTTTCTCTTCTGGATCTAGCCATCCAGTGGAGCTACCTGGCTCTGGGCTGGTACTGGGGAGTGTATTCAAAAAGTCCTGTGCTATGATCCATCTTCAGGTCTCAGTGTGGATACCAACACCCGCTCCAGCAGAGGTAACAGAAGAGTGAAGTGGATTCTGTGAGGGTCCTTGGGCGTATATTTGTTCAGTGTACTGTTTTGTGTTGGTTGGCCTCCAGCCAGGAGGTGGCACTTTCAAGAGCACATCAACTGTGGTATTATAGGGAGGATCAGGTGGTTGGCAGGATCATAGCAGTCCCAAGAGATTATGTCCTTTGGCTTCAGCTACAGTGGATAGAGAAAGATCATCAGCTAGGGGCAGGGTTAGGCTTGTCTGAGCTTAGACTCTCCTAAGGCAGGGCTTACTGTGGCCGCTTTGAAGGATGGGGGTATAGATCCCAGACCAATGGAGTTATGTCCCCAGGGGGATTGTGGCTTCCTCTGCTGTGTCACACAGGTTACCAGGGGTGTGGGAGGAAGCTGGCAGCCACAGGCCTCACACAGCTCCCATGCAGCCCACAGTCTGAAGGACTAATCTCACTCCCACCGTGATCCCCCCAACATTAACAAGTTTATTTCCAGTCAGCCTGTGAGCAGAGCTCAGAAATTGCCCCAGGCTACAAGGCTCCCACCTGAGAAAGCAAGCAGATTTCACTGTTCCTCTGCTGTCCCACAGAGCCTGAAGCAAGCAGCAATCCATCTCCTTCAAAGGGTCTGTGAATTCTCTCCACTTTTGTGATATGTTCCTGGAGGAGTTCTTGGAGCAAATGTTCACAATGTGGGTCTGCACAAGCTGCTCTGTTCATCAGTGTAGCAGGTGCAAGTTAGTCCTGCCTCCTGTCCTCCATTTTGCCTCCTGATGGCCTATTTTTCTTGATAAATCTTAATAAAATATCTTTCTTTCAAGGTTCCTCACTCTCGAAGTAGAAGCCATTCCTTTAATTTAATCGACAAATATCTGAGTACTCACTCTGTGACAGGCATTGAGTTAAGAGCTGAGAATGCACAATAAAAAGACAGAGTAGAGTCTTCTTCTGAATTCCATGTCGAACTCTCTCCTGGCACTAACCACTTCCTGCTTCACAGGAGGGTTCTCTGTCTTGTCTACCTGACCACAGCCAATCCCACTGCTAATCTATAAACCTGTAAAGAGGAGGCACCGGATCTTCTGGATTATGGGACTGCTCATAGAACAGTGCCTATCCTAACATAAAGGAGCACAAGAATTCAACGATCATTCATTAAACATCTACTGTATACATGGAACTAGGTACAGTTGTTGATATAAATAAAATTTAAGAATATTCCTGACTAGAAATTTCCAGTAGAATTTAGGAGACTAATCTTTACAGTAAATATAGAGGACAATAAAAGGGAACATACTGCAAATACCTCGGAAGGGATATTAGCATGTCAGGAATGCAGAGACACAAAGCACACAGTGAGATGGAGTTAATATACCTCCATAAGATCAAACTTGTTTGGGCCTCAAAGTTTCGGTAGGATTTGGATGGCTGAGAGGGACAGAAAAGAAGAGAAAGAGCATGATGAGCAAGGACTTGAGTGAGGAATAGATTTCTTTTTGGGTAACCATGGAGATACAAGCTTCTAAAATACATAGGCTCTGTATTGAAGAATGGGGAGGAGTAGGTGAATGAGAATGTTAAAGCCACATTATGAAGCCTTGAATGCCAGACATAGATCTGGGGCTATCTTCTTACCTTCATACATTTCTGAACTAGAAGCAACTGCAATCATCGGACCTTCTTTTCTTCTCTATTGGGTGAATGTTTCTCAGTCTTGGTATGAGTCTCAGTGCCTACGTAGTTAAAGCTTACTGAAATGGTCCTTTGGCAATTCTAGAGAAATATGTCTTTTATGTTGACTTGTTCATGTTGGCAGACTATATCTGGTTAAATAGCTGCCTGTACTATACCTCCAAGTACGGATAAAAAAAAAATCAAACTCGTATTCTTGGAAAGCCATGCATATACTAGTTACATGGATCAAAGGGCAACAGAAATGATCCAGTGAGCATTTTTCTGAATTTCCCACAATTATTTAATATCTACCTCAAATACCTGTTCCTCTACCATGCCTCCCCTTAGGCCTTCATTTTAAATAGCACCTCTGTTTCTGCTCCCAAAGCACTAACTAACCCCTGTGATAGGGCACTTCCCAGCCAGGCTGATATGTAGACTTGGCTGCCTGTGTATCTTTTCCCCATAAACCATGAGCTTCCTTTAATGATAAATAATTGTAGCTACATTTAGAAGGGTGCTCCTATCTGCTTAACTTCACGATGAGAACTTTACATGGATTATTTTATTTATTCACTAAACAGTCCTTTAAAACTGTACTATTATTCCACTTCATCTAATGGATAAAAAACAGTGAAATAATAAGTGCAAGTACACAGCGCTAGTAAGGACTAGGGTCTGACAGGTCCCAAAAGCCACATCATCACTGCTGCCCCATACTGCATCTGGCACAGGTAGACATCATGCCTTATTCATCACTACTACTGCACTGGACCCAGCTTAGTGCCTGATGTAGAGAGGGGCTCAGTCAATGCTGATTGATTTTAGGTGGAGCAAAAATGCCTGGCACGGTGAGCACCTTTGCTGTGATTGAGTTTCTGATTCTCTGTGAAGAGAAGGGGAGTACTGGATCAAACGCATTCCTCTGGCTCCTAGCTTTCATCTTTATTTGCCTTGCTCCTTTGCTCCTTCTTCTTCCTACCTGCACCATTTGGATTCAAAGCTGGAGCTTAGTGCAGGGAAAGGGAAAACAGAACCCTGAATGACCCCTGTTGCACTGAGAAAAGAGAAACAAAAAAGTTGACAGATAAGAACCAAAATGAGGAAAAGAGAAAGGGACTAAATTCCATCACTTTAACTTAATATTTAACCTAATGAAAGCATAACCTTATCTGAAATTTTAAAAGTCAAGGTTTTGAGTGCTGGTTCAGTGCCCATTTCTTTATGACTTGATGTCTGAGAATGATTTGATGGGTGTGGCTTGACGAACTACATCACGTGCTGGATGTTACTCAAGCAGAAAAATGAAAGATACCTGTGCAATAAACCTGCTTTATGCACTTGAGCAGGGAAGAAATCCACAAGGACCCATCTCCTGGTCTGCAGAGAAGACAGAAACAACATGAGCACAGCAGGAAAAGTAAGCAAAAAATATATTACTGTTGGAAATATATTCTCATCAATAGAACAAAGAAAGGAATACAGTATTTGATGAATAATTTAAAATTCATATCCAAATTAGAAATGCTACACTGAAATACAATGTGCAATTTATGCTGTATGTGTTGTATAGTGAACTACAGTGGAAATAAGCTACTCCTAAATACCTTCAAAAAGAATGTACAGAATATGCATCTATTAAGTCTTTATTTCCTACATTAAAGATATTTGCAGTAAAGTGATACTTTATCTCAAGCTAATAATGATTAATTTGTAAATCTAAAGTTAGAAAGACTTTCATCAAGTTGCCTTTATAATAAAAAAACCACTATTTAAATGCATTATTATTTATATTTTTTGTGAACACAAGTAAGTTAAGTCTGACAAAATTTTTATGAGAGGATTTGATTTAGAAGACTTTGAAACACCCTTTAACCTTAAAATAAAATTCCTTACAAAATGCTCATTGGTCTCACAGCATTAGAATCATCAAGCTTAAGGAAGACAACATCAACATTCAAATTCTGGTTTACAAGGGTCCAGTATGACACAAAATTCAGGCCATTTCCACAGTAATCCTATGGAACAGTATCTTCCCCACATAAAAGTCAATATGGTTTTACAGAAAATTAATAATACAATTTGAATCACTTATTAGCACTGGAAACACAGATATTTGGTTTTGCCATTTATAAATTTCTTAATAATTCAATGTGTTTACAGGTGCACAAAAATGCATGTGGTCATACAATATAATCAACTGACATTTCTTAATTGCTTAGTCACATAAATCTGTGCAACTATTTCCAGACCTTTTTTCATGTCAGGAGTGTATCGCACAGTAAAATATCTCACTATGATAACTCAGTTTAAAGGTTCTGTGGCTTCTCTATACACTCTGACAAAACAGGCTCATATCAATGAGCCTGGTTGAAAATCACCTGAGTGACCCATTGTTACTGTTATTCCACCTCACTTCATTTCATTCATTACAGCTTAATACATACATTCTGCATAGAAAATAATTAGGAAAAGAATTAAATTTACCAAACTCAACTAAAAAGAAATGAGTCCCTAGAGCAAAAGTATAAACCAATCAGATTAATGAAAATGATAACTAATGAAATAGATAATTATTCCTCCCCTCTTAGACACAGTATCAATAACTTAGTTTTTTGACAGCATTTCATTTATGTTTACCTATCCTGCATTTCGCTTTCCTCAAATGCTAGATGGTGACAATACTAACATCTATTTCATAAGGTAGTTGTAAGAATTCAATAAATTAAGTCTGTAAAGAATTTAAAAATAATATCTGGTACATAGAAATAAGCCAATATATATTAGTCACTATTATTATGTTGCTATTTAACTTTTTTGTTTTTGGAGACAGAGTCTCACTCTGTTGCCCAGGCTAGAGCGCAGTGGCGCTATCTCGGCTGACTGCAACCTCTGTCTCCCAGGTTTAAGCAATTCTCCTGCCTCAGCCTCTTGAGTAGCTGGGACTGCAGGCACATGCCACCATGCCTGACTAATTTTTGTATTTTTTCTCACTTTTTACTGCCACAAAGAAGTGAAACATAAGACTATATTGATTGTTATTCTCTGGACAGCCAGCTTTGAGACTTCAGAAAAAGTTATTCAATCACTGAGTCAACTGATCCTCAATTATTTCAGCTGTAGAATAAAGCCAATAATGCAGTATTACTGCCCTGGTACCATCCTTCCAAGGTTTAAAAATAATGCATGTTGTTTATAGCAGCACAATTTGCAATTACAAAATTACAGAACCAACCTAAATGCCCATCAACAAATGAGTAAAGAAAATATGGTATGTATACACCATGAAATTACTACTTAGCCATTAAACAGAATAAAATAAAATAAAATAATGGCCTTTGCAGCAACTTGAATGGAGCTACACATCATCATTCTAAGTGAAGTAACTTAGAATAATGTTCTATTATTCTAAGAGACCGAGGCAGGAGAATCGCTTAAACCTGTGAGGCAGAGGTTGCATGAGCCAAGATAGTGCCACTGCACTCCAGCCTGGGCAACAGAGAAAGACTCTGTCTCCAAAAATAAGAGGTAAATAGCAACAATAATAATAGTGGCTAATATGTATTGACTTATTTCTATGTCCCAGATACTATTTTAAGTTCTTTATAGTATTAATTTGCTGAATTTTCATAACTACCTTATGAAATAGATGTTTGAATATCATATGTTCGCATTTATGAGAGGGAGCTAAGCTATGAGATTGCAAAGGCATAAGAATAATATAATGAACTTTAGGAACTCAAGGGGAAAGGCTGAGAGGGGAGGTGAGAGATAAAAGACTATATATTGGGGGCAGTGTACTGTGCTTGAGTGAAGGGTACACCAAAATCTCAGAAATCACCGCTAAAGAACCTGTACAGTTAACCAAAAATCACCTGCACCCAAAAACTGTTGAAATTAAAAATAAATAAGTAAATTTTAAATATAAATATAATGCATATAACTCACCAAGCAAAGGCCACAAGGTGATGCCTGTCACATCATAGGCATCTGGTAATCAGGAACTCCTACTATTAGTACCTTATTTTCAAGTATTCTGATATTTATTTTGGCATTGATCATGTTGAACATCCTGCGAAGTTAAATAATTAGACAAACACATAACAAAAATGAATTTTCAGAAGAATAAATTTCAAATGAATATTTTGTCATTCTTGCAATTTTGTTGACTCTTGCAATTTTGTACATGCTTTAACACAATGAAGACAGATTTTACACTACACTGCCAAGCACTAGAAATATGTGTTCAACATTTATTGTTAAGAACATCTATGGATAAGATCTGCTAGCCAGAAATGCAAACACATAATGTCTCCAATTTTGAAATATGTATGTGTGGTTGTGAGTGTGTATACACTCACACACACACACACACCCCACCAACAACAACAACTCCAACCTCCATAATTTTTGGCTGAAATCAAAGCTGGAGAGTCTCTACATGTAAATCAGATAACAGAACATGCTGCCAAAGGTAAGTAGTAAATGGGTGTTGGAAACAGAAACACAGAGAAGTGGTGGAGAGAGAACATTAAAAGAGGAGAATAGGCAAATAGAAAGACAGAGATGTCATTTAAGGCAGGAAGGTAAATATATTCTTATAGAGATGGATCCTATTGGCCTAATCAGAAAATTGAGCAAGAAAGCAGTGTGTTTTAGGTGAACACACAGTGACTGTCAGCAATGTGAAGGTGACTTAGAACTTCATGTACCAGCCAATAGAAGGTAAACAAACGTTTTCAGCACAGCATTAGAAAATGTCAGGATTAAACACCTTTGGAGGAAAAACACACAAGGATAGTTTTAATGAGTATATTCCATTTTATCTCAGTGTGTTATTATAGTTAACTCTGTTTATCTTTTTGTATGTTATTGCTTTCTTTAAGGTATTTTTATTCCCTTTATAAACCAAAGGTGATCACTTCTGTGGAGCACTTATTAGGTACGAGACATAGGACTAGATGTTGCAAGTACAAAGATGAAATGACACAATTTCTGGCTTCAAGAGTAGGAAAACAGTGGTACCATCTCTCTGTTTGATTTTCTAGGTAATCAAATGCAAAGCAGCTGTGCTATGGGAGTTAAACAAGCCTTTTTCCATTGAAGAGGTGGAGGTGGCACCTCCTAAGGCCCATGAAGTTCGAATTAAGGTGAAATACAACTTTCCATTTGTATTTAAGTTTTTTAAAAACTCAGAAAAATTAAAAATGGAAACAACCAACAATCCCCTGAGTCATTTTTATATGATCATTCAGAGAACAGAATACAGTTCTTTCAAAGAAAAGTATAAATATAAATTATTAATTTTTTTAAATGATCAAAGAGTACATATGGTATAATTCCAGTAAAAAAGAAAAAAAAATTTCAAAAGGATATATATCAAGACTTCAAAATCAATTAGCATTAGATATTTTTATGTGTTGATTTGCAATTTCTACTTCTATTTTTTTAAGCACACCTTCTTGTATATTATTTAAGAATTAACTATTTCAGGATTAGTTATTTCACAAATTATTCTAAATTTATTAATTCAAGAAAGGAAAGCAGAGGAAGGTTTCAGTCTGAATAACCTTGAGGATAAACTGCATGTTTCATATTTGAGAATAGTAGGGATTATTAGCAAAACCCTTGTAAGTATTTTGGAAGCACAATTTCAGGAAATTGGGATTTTTAAGTTCATTTAAGACTCATAATCTTTTCTGAATCTAAACATCTCTTTACTCTGTAGATTGCGGCTGTAGGAATCTGTCGCTCAGATGACCACGTGGTTAGTGGCACCCTGGTGACTCCCGTTCCTGCGATTTTAGGCCATGAGGCAGCCGGCATTGTGGAGAGTGTTGGAGAAGGGGTGACTACAGTCAAACCAGGTACAGGACTCACACACTGAGAACACGCCTTGGTTCACCATTCCAGGATTTCCCAGCCTGGGTGAGGAAACCAAGGCAATGAGAGATGAAAGGGCTTGCACAAGGTCACAGGGCAGCCGGGACTTCATGGGTTTCCTCCTTCCCTCTCTGCCTACCTGACTCAGGCATGTGTGCATTCAGGCACATATGTATTCTACCCTTCAACAGCTATGTACTGAGGATCTACTAGATGCCAGGCAACAGTTTAGAGCCTGGAGATACATGAGGATCAAAAGAGACACGGTTCCTACCAGTGTGAATCCCTAATCTAGTAACTTCCGTGTTAGTGTTGCTGAACACCGTCTCCTGTCAGGGCCAGACAACAAGAAACGGGAGGAGGGAAAAGACATAAGTATAGACACTGCTCTGTGCTGAGTTCAGGAAATGGAGGTGACATGGCTATGGCTGAATAAACATGACCTTTTCTTAGGTGATTTATGCAGCCCCTTCACCAGTTTCCTCTTCTGACATGGTGTCTCTTCCCAAGCATGGACTCATTGAAACAGACTAGGTGAAAGGAAATGAAAGAAACATAGCAGGAGCCATCCACCATCAACAATGCCTGCCTTATTACCTTCAGCCATGCTTCAATGCGACTGGTTATGAATTACTAATTATATAGAGAGAATAAATAGGACATTTCCATACCATCATTTTCACATAAATTTTACCTATAAAATGTTATGGGCCAACCATTTTTCTTGGTCTTGTGGAATAGGTAGCATAGGTGATCAAAAATAAAAATTACGTTTATTTCTAAGAAATCACTTTGGCCTAGGTTGGACTTGCCACCTTATCAAATACTTGTTTGAACTCTGAACAGAAAAATAAAATTAACTGTCCAATTTGAGTTTCAGCTCTTACTAATTTCTTTAGTTAGAAATAAATTAGTAACAAAATTACACACTTACTTTTCACCCATGCTCCCTCCACTACAACAGAAAAGTAGATAATTCACAAACTATCATCACCTAAAAACATTTCAAAGTCAGTTCTTATCTGAAAAGTGCCTAACTTATTGTGGAGGGTTGGAATTTCCAGAGGAATTTCTGGAGTTGTTCTTTGTCCCATTTTTGTTACTGTTCCTCGAAAAAGAACTAAGATCATCTTAAAAGCATTCATTTCATAATAAAGACAAACCTAGTCACTTTGAAAAACAAAGAATGAGTTCAAACTTCTCATTTTTACTCTAAATCAAACTATAACAAAAAATAGGTCATACCAACATCTAGTGGGACTATTATATTCTACTTTCAACTAAAATTTATATTTATACTTACAGTAAGATTTAAATAGTTAAAGATTAAATTAAATGTTTGTAAAGCCTCCAGGAGAAATCAGTACACTGCATAAAAGTTAACTGTTAATGCTGTGGAAGTAATTTTCTTGATTCGTGTTGTTTCCCACATTTGCATTTCCTCTTTAGGAATCTTCAGGCACTTATAGCCTCAAACTGAAAACAAGACTGTGGCAGGCAATGACAAATGACATAGTTGTGATTCGACGTATTTCTTGGTGGCTTTTAAAGACATGCTTCTCATCTATACATGTCAGCTTTAAGTTTTTGCTCTGTTAATTCCTGGATAGATATTGTAAAAGAATTTCTTTTATTCCTCTCCAGGTGATAAAGTCATACCACTCTTTACTCCTCAGTGTGGAAAATGCAGAATTTGTAAAAACCCGGAAAGCAACTTCTGCCTCAAAAATGAGTAGGTTTCTGATGCTCTCTTTGCATAGACTTTGAGTTTGCTCATTAGTTATTTTGTGTCTCATGACTTTGTATGTCTGTGTATTGCACTGCCCAGTCTGACCAATCCTCAGGGGACCCTTCAAGATGGCACCAGCAGGCTCACCTGCAGAGGGAAGCCCATCCACCACTTCCTCGGCGTTAGCACCTTCTCCCAGTACACGGTGGTGGATGAGATTGCAGTGGCCAAAATTGATGCAGCCTCGCCCCTGGAGAAAGTCTGCCTCATTGGCTGTGGATTTTCAACTGGTTATGGGTCTGCAGTCAAAGTTGCCAAGGTAGGAATGACAATGGGTGATAAAACCAGTTACACGCAGACTGTCGGGAACCAAAAGAGAAGCAATTCTCACAAGAATCAAAGATTATTTTTGTTGATTTGGATTGTCAATTAAGAGTGGAAAAATGGCCCAAAAAGGATTGAGAGCACATGCTAGAAATTTCACCTGTTCATCACAGATAAAAAGTTGTTGAGAGTTAAGAAAATGTAAAGATGTCATTTTCGATAATTATTATCCTGTATTTGCTTTTTATGAAAGCATGAAATGTTAGGCCTGAGGACTCATTTAGTAATTCATTCAACAGTTGGAGATCACCTACACATGCCTCAAGCATCTTAGGTTCTGCTAGGTTCTGAGACAGCAAAAGCAAATGAAATGAAGCATTTGCACTTGAGGAGCATCTAGTCTGTGGATTCCCTACTCCCAGAATTAGGATCAACAGTAGAGTCCAAAGCTCTACCCGACGCACCTCCAAACCAAGGCTCACCCACCCTGTGGATTCTTGCAAGGAGAGTAATGAAGTTCTGTGATGCATAATTCACTTATTATGGAATTTCACTACTAAACTAACTCTCCTGCCATGAACACGTAAAACACACATACTTCAGAAGTGGTCAATTTTAAGCAGAAATTCTTTAAAGACTCCTCATCTCAAAAGACTAAAAATCTAGTAGTATCTTTGTTTTATGAACTGAGGTCCAGAGATATAAAGATAATTGTCCAAAACCTCACTGCTGGTTAAATGAAAGCTGAGACTAGAACATCATCTTTCTCAAATCTCCTGCTGAGTCTTAAATCACAATACGTATTATTAGCACTTTTAAATCACAGTCACAAACTTGTATTTTTCTAAGTAAGGTATAACGTAGTGTTGTCCCTCATAATATTGAATAACACTTGATGGGTGAATGCATGAGTGAATATACACCCTTAAGGGAATATAAGAATGAGATTATTTGGTACAGGAAAGCATTTTACCTACAATGAAGGCTGCCTATGGGAGACCAGGTTGAATAAATAACCCCTAGTCAATGTAAACAATTTAGAACATATCTTTTCCAAATTTCTGTGACTTTTGCACCTAATCCCTTGTTCAAATACGTCATCTGTTTTAGCAGGTGGTCTAATTGAGCCTATCTAAGAACTGAAGCTGAGAATACTCATAACAATAGATTTTATTCATTATTAAAATATAGAAAAACATTTCATTGCTCTTGTTCACTAGTGTATTTCTTAAAGCAGGGATATATTATTCACTGAACTACTTCATTAACTACTGAATGTTAATGAACCAACAAGTTATTTATAGAGGGTTTAATGGAATATTTTTCTGTCTTCTGGAGTACGTTTTCCACTTATTTCATTTTTGAAATATTGCCTTTGTGTATGTATGAGATACTGAAGCCGGCTATCAAGGGATTTCAGCAATCAAGAGTCCCTTCAAGATAGTAATCACTGCCATCTGGATCTCAAAGATCATCCAGTCACTTGGTTCCCAGCCTGACCTTCCCATTAGAGTCACCTGGAGACTGCGTTCCACCTGCAGAGATTCTGATTTAATAGGCCTGGGTTCAGGCCTGGATAGTGGGATTTTTTTTTTAAAGCTCCCCAGGTAAATCTGATATGCAGCAGTTTAAGAACCACTGACAAGTTCAACCCCTTAAATGTAAACATGAATCAACTCAAGCCAAAAGAGGTTGTGATAACAGTTTGGACAGGAGAGTCTGGGTAGCTCTTGATAAACACTGGGAATGGCACTTTAAAGCATAAGCAATTTCTAACAATC